GGGGGGGGGGGGGGGGGGGGGGGGGGGGGGGGGGGGGGGGGGGGGGGCTGGATGGTGCCTCAGTTTCCCCTTCTTGGAGGCCTCGGTTCGGAGGCCGCAGCTCCCACCCTGGCCGGTCCGGGCCTGGCGCTCCGGGTGAGGACGTGCCCCGCCGCCGCCTCCCCCGCGCCGCCCGCCAGCGCGCCCGCCTCACGCCCGCGCCGGGCTGGCTCCCGCATACCAATGGGCGCACGCGGCGCGCATACGGATCGGACCGGCCCGCGCGCTGCGTGCTAAGCATGCCCAAGACGGGCGGGGGGCGGGCGCCTCCCGGGCCAGGCACGCACGGCTCCAGGCCCTGGAGCCCCCTGCCCCGGGGACCCGCCCCCCAAGCCCATCCCCAGAGTCCGACTCCCCGGATCTGCAGTGAGCCTGTTCCCCCAGCTAGGCTAAGGAGGCCAGGGCAGAGGGCAGGGACCCCCATCCTGTGTCCTGCCCGGGGATTTCCCCCAGCCCCTCGGGGTGGCGCCACGTGTCCGGGCCGCCACATCCCCACGACCACAACTTCCTCCCTGAAGACCCCGGCGCGCGAGCCCCAGCCCCGGACGCAGTCGCCACAGTCTCTGCCCCAGGACACCCCTAGGATGGACCCGACACGCGGGGCCCAGGTGTCCTGGTCTCCTGATCCCCTAGAACCAGGAGCGCTTTCAGTTAGATCTTCATTCCTCCAGGACCAGGCGTTCAGAACACTCCCTTACCCCTGGAAACAGGCCGCCCCCAAACCGCCCCAGCCAGGTGTCCAGATGCCCCAGACCCCCGCGCCGAGGTCTCCCAGCCCTGCGTCTCCTGCAGAGAGAAAGGGCCAGGAACCAAACATCCGTGTGCCCCTTCCCCCAGCCTCAGGATACCCTCGTCCAGACACCCGAGCCCCCAGACACTGGAGTTCCAGCCCCCCATTCCTCCGGACCCAGAAGTCCCCCCTCCTGCCAGCCGGCAAGCTTCCCCTACCCGCAGGACCGCCAGTCCGGTTACTTGGCCGCAGAGCAGGCTCCGGGCGCGGCGTGGGGCCGGCCGGGCGTCTCGGAGGGGCTGCTCCATAGACCCCGAGGCGCGCGGGGCGCAGCGGGACGCGCGGGCCGTGGCGCCCAGCTCTCGGCGCCCACCTCGGCAGCGCAGACTTGGAGACGCGCGGCCAGCACTGGCGGGCGGGGGCGGGGTCTGTCGAAGCCCCGCCCCGTGTCTCATTCCCCCGGCCCCGCCCCGCTCGCCTTTCCCTGGTAGGGGGCCCTGCTACCCTGGGGTCCAAGTTCCCTTGCCCCAAGGTAACGTCGGGGGTCAGAATGAGAACCTCGGATCGGAGCTTCCTCACCCCAAGAGGGGAACACTGGAACCCCAGCACTGTCTCTACGTCCCTTTGGAAGACAGCTAGTGCTCCAGCAGCCCCTTGGGACAAGGCGGGTACCCTGCACCTGAGCCCTCTGTACGAGACTCAGACGTCAGCGCTCCCTGCAAGAACACAAATTCAAAATTCGAGACCCTCCCTTTCCGGGAGAGAACCCCCTGGGTATCAGCACACTCTCCCGCCACAGGGCTGGGACTTCCCATCGAAGTCCAACCCGCCTTACAAGGCCAGACTTTGGGGTCCGGACCCACTTCTCCCCCGTCAGGGACCAGGATCCAGCTCTCTAAGGAGCTCCAGAGACTAGGATCCTAGGGTCTTATCTCCATCCCGCGCTGCAGGGACCGGAACCCTGACATCCAAGCTCCCCATTAGATCATAAATGGGAACTCAGCGGTTGTAGCACTTCGCACAAAGGACGCGGACCCAGGCGTCCAAGCCAGGCCTTCCTCAGTCTGTTAGGAGATCCTACCGCTCCCCTAGCTCCTTCCCTCCATGCAGCCCCCCACTTCCCGTTCTCAGGGTGCTGCCTGGCATGGGGGTCTCCAGACACTTAAAGGCCTCTACATGACCTCAACATGGAGAATGAGGATGGAGCGGGGGTGGGGGGGGCACAGTGGTTTACACCTGTAATCCCAGCACCTTGGGAGGCCGAGGCGGGTGGATCATCTGAGGTCAGGAGTTCAAGACAGGCCTGTCTCTACTAAAAATACAAAAATCAGCCGAGTGTGGTGGCAGGCGCCTGTAATCCCAGCTACTCTGGGGGCTGAGGCAGGAGAATCGCTTGAACCCGGGAGGCGGAGGTTGCAGAGCGCAGAGGTGGTGCCATTGCACTCCAGCCTGGGCGACAGGAGAGTCGTAACAAAAAAAAAAAAAAAAAAAAGAGGCAGAAAGAAAAAGAAAATAAGAAAATGGAGCAGGGAGTCTTAGAAGAGGCACACAGTCAGAGGCTTGAAGGGAGCACACACTGGCCTCTGGTTGGGCAGATGGGGAAACTGAGGCACAAATAAACACCCGTGTGCACTTGCTTGCAAGAACACAGGCTCCTTCATGATCATCATCACTAACAATGAAGGGAGTGCTTATTTTCTACTAATACTTTATTCTATGGTAAGGTTCTGAGATGAGCTTTGTTACTAGACCCATTTTACAACTAGGGAAACTGAGGCATCGGGAAGTGATACGGCCTGGTGATGGTGGCCTCTAGACAATAGTTCCCTATTTACCCCCAGAGAGATGTGTTGGGGTTTCAGGGCAGGGATTTGAGCTCAGATCACTGACTCCTGTCTCCTGACAGTACTTCCTGGCTCTGAAGCCTGGGCAGGTGCCATGCCAGCCATGAAAGGTGCATATGCCATAAATTTATTTCTTTATTCTTTTTGAGACACAGTCTTCTCGCTCTGTCACCCAAGCCACACTATCACGGCTCATTGCAGCCTTGAACTCCCAGGCTTACGAGATCCTCCCACCTAGCCTCCCAAGTGGCTGGGACTACAGGTGTGCACCGCCCACCCAGCTATTTTTTAAAAAATGTTTTGTTGGCTGGGCGCAGTGGTTCACGCCTGTAATCTCAGCACTTTGGGAGGCTGAGGCGGGTGGATCACCTGAGGTCAGGAGTTTGAGACCAACCTGGCCAACATGGTGAAACCTTGTCTCTACTAAAAATACAAAAATTAGCTGGGCATAGTAGTGGGTGTCTGTAATCCCAGCTACTCAGGAGGCTGAGGCAGGAGAATTGCCTCAGCTCGCCACAACCTCTGTCTCTTGGGTTCAAGCAATTCTACTGCCTCAGTCTCCCAAGTAGCTGGGACTACAGGCACCTGCCACCACGCCTGGCTAATTTTTCTATTTTTAGTAGAGATAGGGTTTCACTATGTTGGCCAGGCTGGTCTTGAACTCCTGACCTTGTGATCCGCCTGCCTTGGCCTCCCAAAGTGCTGGGATTACAGGCGTGAGCCATCGAGCCTGGCCAACATTTTTCATGAAATATCTATGTTGACCTATAAAGGGTTTATAATTACTATTTTAATTTAATTTGATTTCATTTTTTGAGTCTCGAGTCGTCTGGAGCGCAGTGGTGTGATCTTGGCTCACTGCAACAGAGTGAGGCAGGAGAATCGCTTGAACCTGGGAGGCAGAGGTTGCAGTGAGCCAAGATCTCACCACTGCACTCCACCCTGGTGACAGAGCAAGACTCCGTCTCAAAAACCAACCAACCAAACCAACCAACCAACCAACCAACCAAACAAAAAACCAGGCCGGGCTGGTGGCTCATGCCTGTAATCCCAGCACTTTGGGAGGCTGAGGCAGGTGGATCATTTGAGGTCAGCACTTCAAGACCAGCCTGGGCAATATGGTGAAATTCCATCTCTACTAAAAATTCAAAAATGAGCCAGGTGTGGTGGCGGGTGCCTGTAATCCCAGCTACTCAGGAGGTAAGAGATAGAAGGGCATAAAGTTGAAGTCAGCGGTCCGGCAGCTTGCTGACGCCACCGGCCTGACCGCAGCAAGGCCCAAGGACAGAAAACAACTCCCTTCTCTGTGACTGGTGCCTATGTTATCTACAAGCCTTGAAAACATTGCAAAAGAATGTTTTTCCTGCTGCCCAAGGACCTTCCCTGAGTCACGTACTCCACATTGGCATAAACCAGACCCCCTTTAGGAATGCCTCTGACACTCAGTGATTTACTGCCTTTGTTTGACTTCTGCCACTCTTCCCCTTGCCCTCCTTCCTGCCCTCTTTCCCCTGCATGCTAAATATGAATTAGCGAATCAATGAAAGCCGAAAACAGTAAGGTCAAATGTCCAGCCAGTGGACCATGAGTTAGTTTCACTTCTGCTTCCCTTTGGAGCTGTCTGTCTTTAAAAAGGGAAAGAACCTGCTTTTCGGGGAGGTCGGCTTTTGGACATGAGTTTACCAATGCTCCACAGCTGAATAAAGTTTCTTCCTTCCTCACTCTAGTGTCTGAGGGGTTCTGTCACCGGCGCGTCCTGCAAAACTAAAAATACAAAAAATTAGCCAGGCGTGGTGGTGGGCACCTGTAATTCCAGTTACTCGGGAGGCTGCGGCAGGAGAATCATGAACCTGGGAGGCGGAGGCTGTAGTGAGCTGAGATCAAGCCACTGCACTCCAGCCTGGGTGACAGAGCGAGGCTCCATCTCAAAAAAAAAAAAAAAAAAAAAAAGAAGAAGAAGAAGTCTGGGTGAGGTGGCTCATGTCTGTAATCCCAGCACTTTGGGAGGCTGAGGTGGGTGGATCACAAGATCAGGAGTTCGAGACCAGGCTAGCCAATATGGTGAAACCCCATTTCTACTTAAAAAAAAAAACAAAAATTAGCAGACATGGTGGCAGGCTCCTGCAGGCCCAGCTACTCAGGAGGCTGAGGCAGGAGAATCGCTGGAACCCGGGAGGCAGAGGTTGCAGTGAGATGAGATCACACCACTGCACCCCAGCCTGGGCGACACAGCGAGACTCTGTCTCAAAACAAACAAACAAAGACAAAATACAAAAATTAGCTGGGCATAGTGCCATACGTTTGTAATCTCACCTACTCGGGAGGCTGAGGAAGGAGAATTGCTTGTATTTGGGAGGCAGAGGCTGCAGTGAGCCAAGATCACGCCACCGCCCTCCAGCCTGGGTGATAGAGCGAGATTCTGTCCCCCCCAAAAAACCCCAAATATTATTATTATAATTTTAGACTGAGTCTTGCTCTGTCGAAAGGCTGGAGTGCAATGGTGCAGTCTCAGCTCATTGCAACCTCCACCTCTTGAGTTCAAGTGATTCTCCTGCCTCAGCCTCCCAAGTAGCTGGGATTACAGGTGCGCTTGACCACGCCTAGCTAATTTTTGTATTTTTAGAAAAGACAGGTTTTCACCATGTTGGCCAGGATGGTCTTGATTTCTTGACCTTGCAATCTGCCCACCTTGGCCTCCCAGAGTGCTGGGATTACAGGCATGAGACACCACACCTGACCCCAAATATTATTTATTAAGCATCTACTATGTCCCAGACTGGCAGATATCACCGTCCTCCTGTAGCAGGCTTGGTACTGTGTCATGCACATCACCAGCCATGAATACATTTTAGCATTTGTCACTGAGTGGGGCTCGTTGGTCCTTCTCTCCTGAGGTGGCAGAATGGGAATTCTGTAAATTTTGGCACTCCTCTCCCAGTCTCTGTTCACAGGAGGCACTACTTTTTCATTACACAAGAAAAGGCAAGGCTGGGCACTGTGGCTCATGCCTGTAATTTCAGTGCTTTGGGAAACTGAGGCAGGAGGATTGACTGAGCTCAGGAATTCAAGACCAGCCTGGGCAACATAGCAAGACCCCCACCCCCACACTCTCTCTGTCCCTCTCTCTCTCTCTCTCTCTTTCTCTCTCTTTTGAGATGTAGTCTTGCTCTGTTGCTCAGGCTGGAGTGCAGTGGTGTCATCTTGGTTCTCTGTAACTGCTGCCTCCCAGGTTCAAGTGATCCTCCTGCCTCAGCCTCCTGAGTAGCTGGGATTACAGGCATGCACCACCACGCCTGGCTAATTTTTGTATTTTAGTAGAGACGGGGTTTTGCAGTGTTGGCCAGGCTGGTCTTGAACTCCTGACCTCAAGTGATCTGCCCACCTCGGCCTCCCAGAGTGCTGGGATTACAGGCATGAGCCACCACACCCAGCCATAAGACCTCATCTCTACAATTTTAAAAAAAGAAATTAGCAGGTTGCGGTGGTGTGCACCTGCAGCCCCAGCTACTCAGGAAGCCGAGGGGAGAGGATCACTTGAGCCCAAGAG